GGCGGTTGCGGGGGGGTTTCTCCGGGGTTTTGGGGGGGGGGGCCCGAGTCTCCCCGCCTCAGTCGCGCGTTCCTGGAGCCGCAGGGGCAGCCGCGCTTCTCTGGGGTAACGGGGCCATCCCGCAAGCCAGTGGCCTCAGCCTGTGTGAGACAGGAGGGGCAGGCGCGTGGGGCGGATGCTCTGCCCCAGCAGCCCCGCTGGCTCCTCGCCCTCGGCCTCCGCCGCCATTCCCCCAGCGTTTGTTCCTGCAGGCCCGGTGTGCGTGTCATGTTACAAATGCCTTGGCAAGCCACAGCCGTGAGGCGCTTACACTGTAAACCCGACAGATCGCAGCAGGGGTGGCAGACGGTTACAGATGCAACAAGGGTTGCAGGCAGTACAAGATCTAGGGCTGCTGCTCTTGCTGTCTGCTGCCTCCTGAGTGTGACTGCGCTTGCCTTAAAGCACAGTTGCCATCTTTCAGTGGTAAATAAGCACCCCGACATTCACAATAAATCAAAAACCAAGCTAATCCCATTTCAAAACAAGGCCAAAACAAGCCAATCCCTAAGAACACCGACTCTCTATGTGACTAGATCCCCCAGTGTGCAGTCTGGGACTGTGGTGGGCTCGCTGTGCACCCCTGACTCTCTCCCCTGCTTGCTTCCCCCTTGCCGGGAACTGATTTAAAAAAAAAAAAGCTACAAGCCAAAAAGCAACTCAAGCCAATTAAGCCAAAAACAAGCCTAATTTCTGCATTTTTCATGGGTGTGGCATGTCTGCTTGAAAGCCAAGCATGTTTTGTGTTGACCATGGCCGCCCAGCCACCTGTTAGAGTAACCTACATGCTCTCCTGCAGGCAAAGTGCGGCTACATGGGAGACCTTACAGCGGTACAAGTGTAAGGTACAGCTGTGCTGCTGTAAGGTCGCTAGTGTAGACATAGCCCTGTACAATTTCTTCAGGTTGAAGCAGGAACAGAGAATGTAAAAAATTATTTGGTTTTAGGGTTCTGCATTTTTGCTCCTGGTGAGCGTGACTTACCCGCCTTTGGCAGCTGCAGGGCTAGGGGGGAAAGAGAGGCCCCCCAAACCTGAGTAGTGCTGCATCCACCCACCCCCTCCTGTTTGCCCAGTCACAACAGCCAAAGTGGGAGCCAGGTCCACCCCCAGCATAGTTTGAGGGGGAGGGAGGTGTTGCAACTGCAAACATCAGGCAGGTGCAGAATTTGCCCCCTGTGCAGCCCCATTGGCCTGAGTGGAGCTGCCTACCCAAATATAGAAATCAAACTACATGTATGGCCCTGGGCAGGAGTCAAGCCTGTGATTTGGGCTGAGTGCAGTCTAAGCTCATTCTCACTCCATCTACCCCAGCTTTCCTTTGGTGTTAAATTGTTGGGGGGGTTGGGAGTCATCTTAGTTTCAGATTTTGGCCTAGACCCTCTAAAACCTCTATGCAGCCCTGACTCCTTATCCCTCCTTACTCCTGAGTGCATTCTGTTCCAAAAAAATTAAAGTTCTGTGCATAATATTTTAAAATTCTGAAATTTTATTTGTCAAATGCGGAGGGTCCAGCATGACATTGGGAAGCACAGGCCATTGGCTGCACAGAGGTGGGTGATCACAGTCCAGCTCCCCCTCCCGCCCAGGACACTGACTTAGTGGTAAGGCTGCACCCAATCCTGATACAGCACAAAGACCATGGCTGCCCCAGAAACACCCAAGAGCCCTGCCCCTCTGTACCAGGTGTGGGCAGGCAGGCTCAGCCCAGCAGGATGTGTGTGGAGGGGCTTAGTGTGGGGGGATCTGGGTGTGGGTTGAGAGGATTCTGGGTGGGGCAGTCTGGGTGCAGGCCACTCAGTGGGGGATCTGGGTGTGTGTGGGGGAATCTGGATGCACAGGGGCTTGTTGGGGGGTTCTGGGTGCAACAGTAATGGGAGTCTGCAGGGGGAGTCCAGTGAAGGTCGCTGATGCTCAGCAGGGCAGGAGTGGAGGGGGAATGGAGCTCAGCAGGGGGGTCTGGGTGGGGGGGTCCAGATGCTGGGGGAGTGGGGTTGGGATCCAGGTGCAGCTGGTTGGGGTTCAGTAGAGCAGGGATCTGGGTGCAGGTGGCTCATCGGGATGGTCCAGGTGCAGTGGGGCGTGTCAGGGAGGTTCTGGGTGTGGGGGGTGAGGGTGAGGCTCGGCAGGCGGGTCTGGGTATGAGGGGTCTGGATGCACGGGAGTTGGACGGAAGAGGGAGCAGCCAGGGGAGAAATCTGGGGGTGGGTCTGACCCAGCCCTGGATGCCGTGCAGGGGAAGAGGAAGTCCCATCTTCCAGGACTAGCAGCTGAGCCCAGCACAGGGTAGGAGCCACCAGCAGTGTCTTCCCCAGTCCTGACCCCACCCCACAGTGATTACCTCTCTGCTGGCTGCCCTGGGCACCCGAAACATACTGCTGGGGAGAGTCACATGACCGCTTTTGGATGGAGAGCTCACATCAATAAAGGATAGACATAGCAGAGATAGGCAATGCTCCCCTCCATCCATCTGTGCTGGAGCATTAATGGGGAAGGCAACTGGCCAGCTCCAGCTTCACAGCAGTGAGTACTTCCCCCTATACAAAGGGAATTTCCTATGGGCCACTTGCTGCTAAAATTCAGCCCATTTGTATTGCCTGAGCAGCACACGGGCTAAATCTCACTTGTGAATCTGGTCCTAACAGGTTTGAAATCATTGCTGTTCCAAAGCTATCTACACTTCAGCAGCTCTGGAAAGAAGCCAGGATGCAGCCAGAATGGAAAAATGCAATAGCTGGAGATGATTGAGTTCTTCTGAGCACTCATAACTCACACTGATGTTGACCCACATTAGTTGCACTAATCCTCAAGATATTGTGCCTTGGTAATCATTCTTTTATCTGTAAAATACTGGATATGATTCCACTCTGAGCATTTCAATGCTGCACCTGCATTAGACAGAGAAATGTTGAACATGCTGTCTTCAGAGCATGCTTAGTAAATAAAGGGCCAAACTTTAATTCCAAACTAACTTTTCAGGAGGGTAGTGCACAATGCTAGCACTAGACTAGTGGATGGGTATAGAGGCTTTGGTTTTTATTATTAGTCATCATAAGTGCACTATAGCTTTCACACAATAGTGCAAGCTGAAAGATGTGTAATTGTCTTGCAGTTGAAGGAATGTCATGCTGTGTTTTGTCCAAAGGAAACTGAGGTATAATGGGAGGAGATTAATTGCCCATACACAAAGAAAAATACAACCCTACTGGTCCATTGTGAGTGGCCTAGATAGTCTCTCCAAAACATCAGCTATTTTACCTTTCAGGAGGGCAAATCACTGCCTTGGTTAATCACAGCATCTGAAGGCATACAATCCTTATGTATTGTTAAAGCAGAACTACATCCCTACAATCATACATTTAGGAACAAAGAAGTTGGTTAGTTCCAAGGTCAGGGACTGTACTCTGAAAAGCAGCAACTCTAAAAGGGATTTGGGGGCCAGGATAGATAAGTAATGGAATATGACATCCCATTGTGATACTGGGACAAAACAAACTATTATTCTTGGATGTATAAATGGGAGAATGCTGAGCAGGAGTAAGGAGGTGGTATTACTTGTATATGTGATACTCGAGAAACCATCCCTGGAATAATGAGACCCCAGTTCTGGTATAACAAGACCCTATTGTGTGAAATTTAAATTAAAATACAAGCTGTTCCATTTTTAATAAATGGAACAGCTTACAAAAGGAAGTGCTAAATTCATTATCATGATTGGATAACCCTGTAAAAGATACGCTATAGTCCAACAAAAGATATTGGGCTGAACAGTGTTACTTACATAGCAGGGAAGAATAATTCCCTCTGCTGGAGAACTTATTGGATAAAAGTAGGCTTGCTTAAAAGTGCACAGAATTAGGCTTTTTTATAATGTAAACAAATGAAACTATGACATCTTTTTGTTGGTGCCTGACAGTTTACTGTTCCTTCACTGAAGCAGACGTTCAAGTAAATATTACTTTTTTATTTAATAAAAAGGAATATACAGTCAAATGTCAGGT